TTGTGGTCTTATTCCAGCCAAAGAACCACAGATAATGAAATCCTGAAGAAATGTATTTTATATACAGTACATGCAAAGCCTTTCTGTCATTTTTCAGAATTACGTAATAGAGTTGAAAGGGACCTTGGACGTCTTCTAGTCCAACTTCCTCTTTAAGCAGGAGACCCTAATTAATTCTGGACAAATGGCTGTCCAATCTCTTCTTCAAAACCTCCAGTGATGGAGCACCCACAACTTCTGGAGGCAAGCTGTTCCACTGATTAATTGTTTTTACTGTTAGGAAATTTCTCCTTAATTCTAGGTTGGATCTCTCTTTGATAAAGTTCCCATCCATTACTTCCTCTCCTGCCCTCAGATGCTTTGGAGAATAGGTTGACTCCCCTCTTCTCTGTTAACAGTCCCTCAAATATTGGAAGATTGTTACAAAAAACAAGCAAAACTGCAGGTAACTGAAAACTTTTACCACAATTTCCAAAATATGGTGTCTTTTTAGCAATCATAGATAAACAAAGTCATGGGGCATGGAACCACAAATACCAAGAGCCACCTGCATAGTTTTGCTGTTACAACTACATATTTCTTTATGATAAATATTTTGGTATATATTTTTGTTCATAGAGCTCCATCACAAATCTATTAATGTAAAATACTAAATGTGGCTTCGTCTATGTATAGTTTGATAAATATAAACTGATTAGCTTTACCTTAAAATATGAACTGAAATAATTTCTCCCCTACCACTGCTAGCAAGGAACTTAAGATAACATGGGGTAGAAAAATAAGATATTAAAGCAGGGGTGTCAAACTCAATTTCATTGAGGGCCGCATCAGCATTGCGGTTGCCCTCAGGGGGCCAGGGTGTGTGTGGCCAGGGTGGGTGCAGCCTACTGGGTGGGCGTGGATGGAGTGGGTGTGGCCAGCTCTACATCGTTCGTGTCAAGGGTGGCTGTGGGGGCCTGGGCAGGAGTGGGATAGATCTGAGGGTCTCTGGCAGAAGGGGGTGGGACCAGGGCAAGTGCCAAGGCATGGTCCACTGGAGGAGCCTCACTGTTCCTCTCAGGCCATGTGGGGGGGGGGGCTTATGGAGCTAAGATTGAATACGTTTCAGCATAGATGGCCACCACAAAATTGTACATTGGCTCCCAGCTGGCCTGGGCCAGGGCCAAGGCAGCGGGGGCCGTTCCCTCACTGTTTCCAGGATGGCTTCGTGGGCCTCATGAAACCACTTCGCGGGCCGCATCCGGCCCCCCGGGCCTTGTGTTTGACATATCTATATTAAAGTATAAAACTACCTAATAATAAGAACAGTACCCCTGTGCCAAGTATATGGAGATTATCAGTCATCCAGGTCATAGTTATCCCAAAGATGCTTTTTCACAAGGCAACTGGACTTTCTTGTTTTTCTTTGAAGAGCTGAAGAAGCTTCTTGGATGAGAAGCGAAACATCTTTAAAGAAAAAACAAGCAACTCCAGTTGCCTTGTGAAAAAAGCACCTTTGGGACTCTGTGCCAAAACTTTTTAATTGTAAATATTTGTGGTTGCTACAAACGTCTCCACTCCTTAAATCTGTGGCATGCAGAAAAGAATCTTTTCTTGCTTAAGCCTACTTCCCAAGCCAAACATGAATGAACAACAACAAACCCCCGCCCCCTATTACAGGCTAAAGAAAGGGACCTTCGCATAACCTTGCAAGATCAGGACTGTTATCAATATTGGCCCAGAAAAATCTTCTTTAGCCATGACTAGTTTTAAAAAAATAAGACTATACAATCCTCGAGATTAGAAAACTGAGGAATTAGGCCTGTGTTAATGAAGATATTTTTGTGAAATTTGATATATATTTTTCTGATAGTAGTTGTTTTCCTTTCAGCAATTAAAAAAATAGATTTAACTCACTGCTAGGGTATCCAATGCATCAATCAGAGTAAGCGAGTAGTTTCCCAGGACATCATTGATATTCAGATTTGAACTGAAATAAATTTCATTAGAGTTAGTTCAATCAGATTTAAAAAGACTTAATTCGCTTAGGTAAATTTTAAGTGATATAGCCTAATTCCAGGCACCATTAACTGGAAGAACATCCCAAAGAATTATAAGGGAAATATTCTTAGATAAGGGCATAAAAGATTGCAGTTGCAGATATATAGCTTAAACTTAACATTAACACTTTCATAGTTTATCATTTATTTATTTGATTTTTATCCCACCTTTATTTAGTTTGTAGATAAACTATGTTTGGAATTGTATATTCATGAAACTTTGAGACCAAAATAGCTGGGACTTATTTCCACTGAAGTTTTAATTATGATTAAAAGTAGTATTCAAGTGAATTAAAGCAGATTCAGCAGGCTGATTTTAGAAACTGGATACTAGTGATATTTTAAATAATAATCTATTATTTATGTCACAACTAATGTAGCCCAGTATATTAAGTATTGAACTCTACACAAGGTGATTTTAGCTGATATGACTTATGGAAAAAGTGGACTCAAATTTGACTCATCTTAAAGCACAGAGCTATTATCCATAAAGCATNGATTTATGACTGTTAATTGAAGGAGGGAATTGTGCTTTGATACTATGTGCTCAGGGGAGGGGAATCCAGTTTTTGGCTTCAACCATGTTAGTGCCGAAGCTATGCTACTCACATAAAGATTCTTTAAGGTAAACAATGCCTCAAGTTCTTTGAAGAGTTTCATCTGTCGGAACCATGACAATTATATTCATACACACACGCACACACATTATCTGCCTAATGTGTTACGCTAATTACACTAATTGTACAATCAGATTAATCTAGGCTATTTGGAAAGAAATCAGAGAACTATACTTCTTAATGGCCCATATGTTTGAAAATAGCCACAATTATAACTTCTAAAAGAATAGCACGGAGAATGCCAACATCACATATTACTTTATTTCTAATAAAAGTTCAAATTTATAGTGACAAAATGCACTTCCAATAAACAGCCAAATTTTTGAAGAATTTTTAATATTTTCCCATAAAGATACATTAAGTCCACTACAAAAATGTATAAATCTGAATGAACAGCTTTCCACTTGCTCCAAGAATCTTTGTTCAGATCAAATCTGAAAGTCAACCTCACATTTATTATTTCTATATGTAACCATATGTGTCAGTTACCAGATAACAATTTATTCCAGATATATATTATTTCCATAAAAAATATTTTATTAGAAAAACTGCCATTTTTCAATATTTTCTATTTAGAAACTATTCAAAATCTGTAGCAATCTGAGAACTCATAGCTTAAATCAGAGTTCCCCAGTCTTCTCAGGTTGGCGGCCCGGATCTGGGGGAGAAAGGGGGGGAAAGGAGATGATTTTGTGGGTGGGGCAGGCATGTGTGTGTGTGTGGGTGCAAGCACCTATGTTTCTGGAGACGCTCATACAAGTGGGCCTACAAATGCCTGTGACACTCACGTGAGTGGGACCACAGAGGGCCACAATGATGCTTGCACGAGTGGGGCCACAAACATCCCCAATGATGCTCACACGAGTGGGGCTGCGAACACCCACGAAGCAGCGCTGCTCGCGGGAACAGAACCATGCACACGCAGGCACCAGCCAGCCATTCATGTGGCCCAGTGGCAATTAGGCCACAGCCCAGTAGTGGGCCACAGGTTTGGGACTCCTGGCTTAATCAGGAAGGAAAAAGCAGCAACAGTTGTACATTATATTTTACAGATAAATACCATAACTAGTATTTCTCAATTGGGACCCAATTTCTGTATTGGGTCCAGTGCTTTTTAAGCTCTTTCATGAATCATCTCTGGAGTTAAGGATGAATAGTAAGGTGACTGCATTTGGTGATTTAATGTTTTAGGATTACTAAAAGCAAAAAATAACGCAAGTGGTTTCAGAAGAATATTTCAAAATTGCAAATAAAATAGCAATGAAGATCATTGTCACAAAATAAAATGGAATGCACATGGAAGCAAAAAATTAACATTATAAATATTCTTACAAGGACCAAGTTGATTAAAGTTCCTCAGGAATGCGTTATATAGCTCAATGGAAACTATTGGGGCAACTGTCTATATAAATTCTATATAGGGAACATTAAAAGTTACACTAAAAAGGTTGCCAATATTTTATGCACTATAATAATAGTATGCATGAAAAATGCAACTGCATTTGAAATACTATCTGCAATGTTAATCACCAAGAATAGGAAAAGAGATTTTTAGAGCCGCAAAAAGGGTAGTATGTGTAAAACATGTATGTAAAAAAAAAAAAGAATGCCCTATTTTCATATGTCATCTAACAAATTTTAGAAACATCCAATAAAGTACAGAGGCATTCAGGATTGTCAAAAACAATCACACTATGTCCTGTTAAACTACAGAATCTAATAGTGCAAAGTGTGATCACTTTAAAAAAGGATTACATAGTCAGGGAAAATAAGCCTATATTGAACTAGCAACTATCAACAGCTATTTTTCATTAGGGCAATATACATTTTCTAGAAGTTTGCTTTAATTCAGCAGTTCCAACAAATATGACTTCTATGAATGTACTCTCACAGGAACAGCTGTTAAAGTGGACACACCAACCTCTGGCAAGGTCAACTACTTAAATCATCAATGCTCTTTACTCATGATTTTGCTGCATAGAATTATTCCAAGTGACTTACATAGCCCTACTGGTTATGATGGATTTTATACACATAAACATACTCTCTCCCCAATATCAATGCCAATTGTTGGGAACTACACAAAGAATGGCCTATTGCTCCCCAAAATATTATTTATTACTATGGATAGCAATTCTATGAGAAGGTTAGATAGAAGAATTATCCATCAGGCTTTTTATTATATTCTCAGGTTGGGAATAATTAGAAAAAAATACATTATTTTTAAGATATCATAAAACTGACTTCTAAATCAACTTGCCCAATAGTATACATGCGACATGTCCCCTTGGATTTGTTAATCTAGAAAGTGCATCTCAACATTCACATGCAACTATTCAAAAGCAATCTGGGGTTGATATATGTGGCTGCAAGAGACAGGCATACATAGAAATTATTAATACTTTCAAAGCAGTAAGCTTAGTATTTACACCTGAGAAAGATTCCTCTTGGGGGGAATGAAGCAACGCTTATGCAATTTTCAAGAAGGTCAAAGATTTTTAGAAGTATAAACAACATGCAAGATACGATCACCAAATTCAACATAATTCTGTCAGACACTGAACTATAAAAATCTAACAAAGAAAAGGAATTTGAAAGAGACTGCGCTAAATAAATCATGGTTATCACCCTCTACTAAATCCTTCCACACGCTGCTTCAAAGAAGTGGTAGACTTCAGTAAACAATAATCATATTTTATTATCACTATCATGATTCTACTCTTTCACCTGTTCATATCCTGCGACTCTTGCAGTCTTGCACTACCTTCACACGTATTACTGGGACTTTTTATTTTTATTGTCAGCCTCTTAAATCAGGGTGTTTGTGGCATTTAATTGTTCCTATACATACAATGAAGAGCAATGAACTGGAAACACATCAAGCACTGTGAGGACTGAATCAAAAGGATAAAAGCCATTCTTATCTTTCAAAAATGTACTTTCGACGTACCTCTCAGTCATCACACAGCAATCGCTAGTAATAATAATAATAATAATAATAATAATAATAATAATAATAATAATAATAATAATAATAATAATAATAATAGTAAAGTTGGAAGGGACCTTGAAGGTCATCTAGTCCAACCCCCTGCTCAGGCAGGAAACCCTATACCATTTCAGACAAATGGCTGTCCAGTCTCTTCTTAAAAACTTCCAGTGTTGGAGCATTCACTGNTTGGAGAATAGCTTGACTCCCTCTTCTTTGTGGCAGCCCCTGAGATATTGGAGCACTGCTATCATGTCCCCCCTCGTCCTTCTCTTCATTAAATCTTTCTTTCTCAAGCCAAATCCTTACATTACCGTAGCACAGACACTCACCGTCCATTTAACTGACAGGCAAAGCAGCTATACCTCCCCTGAGGACGCTCACCTAATGCCTGTGTTTTCCACCCTCTCCTCGCCAACCCCACACCCCATGTCCTGAACACAGCCGGGCTGGGGGGAAGGCGAGAGCCACGGCGGCAACCCCTGCCCTCTCGGCCGCTCCAACGCCTCCGAGCCCGGCGTGGCAACTTACGGGTCAGCTAGGTCGGGGCCGCGCCCGCGGCAGTCGATGGGGTTGAGCTCGTCCTGAGGGAAAGCGTGGGCCATGTAGCTGTCGTAGCCGAAAGAGAACATGCTGCGGGCGGCGTCGCGCAACTGGGCCCGGAGCTGCGGGGGGAAAGCCCGGTTGTAGCGCTGCTCGTACTCGTCGTGGCCACCGCGGCGGGACGACGAGGAAGAAGCGGCGGTGGGTTTGAGGCTCTCCCCGCGGCCGCCCTCGCCTCCGCCGCTATCGCCTCCCCAAACTCGTCCCAAGAAAGAGGCCCAGTGAGGGGCTTTGAGGCACCGCGAGCTGGAGGGGTCTCCTTCCTTGGCCGGGCTGCCGCAGGAAAAAGTCCGGAGGCGCTGCTGGTAGAAGCCGAAGCTGGGCCCCGCCAGCCACAGGAGGGCTTGCCCGGCCAGTCTCAGGGCCAGCAGCGCCAACACCAACGACCGCCATTGCATGGTCGGAGGAGTCGCAGCCGCCACAGCCTCCGCGCTCTCCTCTCACGCGCATACTTCTCGCGGAAGTTGTGCTCGGAACGCTCCGCGCCCTGGGGAGCGCGGGCGGGGGCCGAAAGCGAAGCCGCGCGGCGCCTCCCCCAACTCCTCCTCGGCTCAAAGAACGACGCGTTTCCTTTAAGAGCGAAGGGTGTGACCGGCGGCCGCGGGCGGGCGGAGGGGAGGCAGAGTTAGAAAGGAAGCATTGTGACACTCCCGCGGAGAACGCCTTTGGATTCGCCTCCCAAAACTTCCGGACCGAAGAGCGGACGGATGAAAATGACGTCAGCGTAAGGCGCGTGTCGCCGTTGACCGCGAGGGAAGGGCTTCCGCCGAGAAAGAGTGATGTGGCACGCTGCGATTTTTTTTTTTTCCCCCTCCGGCCCGGTTTAGCCAATCGGAAAGAATGGGTTAGCTTCTGGGCGGAGCGATATTGCAAGCCCCTTTGGGAACTTGGAGATTGGTTGGCCTTTCAGCCGCTGGATCGCCGGGAGGCGTGGTTTATAGTTTAGCTAACTGGCTAATGGGAAAGGGAGTTTACGTGTCCTCCCCCCCCAAAAAATTCTTGGCGCCAACTAAAGGTTTTGCCACCTATTTCCCTGATTTCTGTGTTTTCACTACACCAGGGGTAGGCAACCTTGGCTCTTTTATGACTCGTGGACTTCAACTCCCAGAATTCCTGAGCCAGCCATGCTGGCTCAGGAATTCTGGGAGTTGAAGTCCACGAGTCATAAAAGAGCCAAGGTTGCCTACCCCTGCACTACACTAATCGCTTTTTGACTGGTTGTCATCAAGTCGCTGCCATCCACGTGGGTAATTTCTTCTGGATGATGTATCCCTAATCTGACCCTTCAGGTTTTAGGACGATGCATCCATCACTATAATAATTGAGTTCATCCTCTTCGTCCACGTTGTAGTAGACCATGTCTTCTGTCTTATGTACAGAATTTTCATGAGGACAATGAGTTGTTTCGGGATTCCCATTTTTCCAAGGACATACTACACCTTGATGTTGCGACACACAATCAAAGACTTGTCTATAATTAATGAAATAATTTGGAGTATCCTTTTGACTTCCTGTATTACCTAGTGTACATCTGCACTAATGTCTCTGCCTTTTCTAAAACTGTTTTGAACATCTGGCATTTCTATTTGCATGAAGGGCTCTTAATATGCCTTCGATGACCATAACCGTTGTGGGAAGTCAGCCCCCCCCAGAAGGAAACATTAAAAAGGGGGAGAATATTGTGTTTCTCAAAGAATCTTAAAAGAGGCAGAAAAGCATACCCAGTTTTTTCTTAATATCCCGAAGTCTCCCTCCCCCGAGCAGAAGCCAGCTCTGTAGAAATACAGCTGTAAACTATTCAGGAAGGTTGAAGCTAGAAGATTAAGAGACAAAGACACCTAAAATCTACATACCCCACCCAAACTCTAAGACAGGACATAATAGGATTAACCCACAGATGCCAAAGGGCACACTCAGACTCAGGTCAAAGTTCATGCCACAGGAACAACTCCAAACAAAAGGCTCCAGTGGGTATAAAAACCCACTCCCTACATGTACTCTCTCTCTCTTTTCTTCCAGAGCCATCTTCCTATCTGGCTCTCCTCTTCAATAAACTTCAACCTTCTTTCTAAAACAGTTGCCATGTTGTTTATTCCTGGCTTGGACTGAACCATAATGAAGACTTTTCCTTCAACACTATTATTTTGCTACCATGTGAAATTAAAGATGATGTGCTGCATGAGAGTTTGCATCGTCTGCTAAGTCTCCTTGTATTTATATTAGACTGACCTCTTCTAATCTACTGGGCACTGTGTCATAATCCAAATATATTGGCAAAGCTCGATTAGAACCTTTATTGATCTTCTGTTGCTTGACATATTTCTGTAGGTATTGCATTAGTTCCTGTACCCTTCTGACCTTGTAATGAGTTGCATAAATTTATTTTCTAACAGTACAGGTTCTTGTAAGGAGGTAGTATCTTCTAAGGCAGAACCCTGGGGGGTGGCCAATGTCACAGGGGGTCCACAAAGGGTTGAAGAAATGTTATGATTTAAATATTGAGTTAAGGCTTTGTTGGTCACAAAAGGGTCTGGTGAAGAAAAGGTTAAGAACTACTGTTCTAAGGTATCATAGATATTGGCATCTGTGCCTCACAGAATTTCAGTATACTCCTTCCATCCATCTTTGATCTTTTTGAAATCAGTTCTATCTGTCCATTGCTATCTTTTAGAAAACCTATTTGAGTTTGCAACCGGAGGTTGCAGATCTTTTGGAAGACTTTCCATTCTTTTCCATATCTGTTTCCATCTTCTGTGTTTTTACAAAGGTCATTTGAATTTAGCATCTTATCTTTTAATGGCTGTCTATATAATCACTTTATCTTGATAAATATATCTATGATTTACCACAACACCTTCCTATACTATATAATGCCTAATATAGGGTGCCCTCTTGTTTTAACGGAGATGGCCTTCATGTCTTAGGGACCAGTATTTTCTGTTTATGCCTCACAGGAATACCCACCTAATACCCCATGCACAATAATGAGGCAGCATAGCAGGACTTGAGGGGGAGGGGATAAGTACAATGCACAGGTACAATGCTGTGAGAAGTATCTATTTTTCATCAGCTAATCAGATCTTGTATATACACAAAATATTATAGGTTATGAAATTGCTCTGAAGTTCTGCAGTTTATTTACTGTTGAAGGACATATATGCATTTAGCTTCAGAAAATAATCAGAACCTGCTTGTAATTTATAAGAATAATATAACTCACCTATTTCCTGAGGTTCTTTTTTGGAAGGTTTTTTTTTTAATGTTGAGAGTACTTAGACGATTTGCATTTAGCTTTTGTTCTGCTATGAAATTCAGCAGCATTCCTTTTTAAGAGGAATATTTTTTGAATTAAGAAAGTCACATTATTTCAGTTAAACATTTATATTTAATAGCACATGAGACCTCTTGTGGATTATGAGCTACGGTTATGTTCTTTTTAAATTTCCCTTGACCACTCTATTGCTTTAAAAAAAAAGGCAATGATAAAGCAAAAAAAATCACACACACTAAACAAATATCATAAGCAATAATGGCTATGAAACCCTTATAGGGGAAGAAAGTAAACCCTCAATATTAGAACTACTGACAATTCTTGCAAGTTGGTTGGAAAAGGATGTGTTGATTTTGGAGACAATATACCAGATTATATTAGTAGCAAATTACTGTACAAAGATGGTTGGTATGATGGAAAGCCTTCATATTCGGTGTCATTAGGTCCAGTAGTATTAGATTGTGCTCATTAAGATTGTCCTAAACCTGCTAAGAAGAAGGGGTGAATGTATGCTTTTATTTCATTTTGTTTGTTTTACTGTTTTGTATTTTATTTTTTATGATAAAACAATAAATAATATTTAAAAAACCAATGCTTTGTATAAAAGTAATTATGAACTGGGAATAAAGATTACTCCTTTTTTATTTTATTTATCTCTTCCACAAGGTGACTCTGGGCAGATTCTAAAGAATATCAGATCTCCTGCTCAAGCAGGGGGTTGGATAGAGGACTTCCAAGGTCCCTTCCAGCCTTATTATTCTATATTCTAACTATAGAAGATTTATTCCCTGAATGCTTATTTTGTTTCTCTTGTTAATGTGATGTACAAGGTCTACTTTAATTTCATTGCTCATATTATATTACATAAATGCATGAGAGATACTAGCTTCTGCTATCTACAAAATATCATGTACAAAGCACAAATCATTGTTCCACAAAGTCAACAGTACATATAAATAAATCACAAATTAATATTCCATAGTTTTCTTTGAAGAAAACTGTTCCCTTCCTGCCTAGGTTTCTGACTTTGTTCTGGATGAAAATCACTTGGTTGACCTGATGGATTCTCTATATATACTGAAAAGTGGAGGATGGCCTGTTTCTATCAGATTTCTCAGCAACATTTGTCACATCACTCATGATATTATGCCATTGCTTAAGATGCAATGGTATTGTAGCAGTTTCCCAATTTTCAGTCAGCACGCAAAAGATTACTGGTTATTTTGTTTCACTTCTCCAGCATTTGATTTGTGGAGTACTTTACAGCTTATTTTATGCTTGTTCTGCAACATTGGTACGAAACTTAAGAAAAAATTACCCAGAAAGTTTAGGCTTTAATAACATTAGCATACACAATTGTCCCCAATTTTATTTTTATTTCTCTGTTGCGAGATAATAGAACTTTTACACAAACTTAAGCACTTGGTTTTAGCTAATCATTTGTAATGTTTTTTTATTGTGTCTTTATTGTATGGTACACCACCCACAGTTGCTTTGGATAATGAGATGAGGGGAAAGCATGTACATTTGATAGATAGATAGATAGATAGATAGATAGATAGATAGATAGATAGATAGATAGATAGATAGATAGATAGATAGATAGATAGATAGATAGATAGATAGATAGATAGATAGATAGACAGACAGACAGACAGACAGACAGACAGATATCTGGGGGTCACCTCCATATCACACATTGCAAATCATTATGTAAATCTGCCTCTAAAGGTGGCCTAGGCCAGGGGTTCCCAATCTCCAGGCTGCGAACCGGTATCAGTCCATGAACTGTTAGGAACCGGTCCGTGGAAGTGGTGGGCATGCATGGGATCTAGATTGCATGTGAAACTATCCTGTCCCCGGCCCGTAGAAAAATTGTCTTCTACAAAATCAGTCCCTGGTGCCAGAAAGGTTGAGGACTGCTAGTCTAGGACACCGTAAAGTAAAGTATAGTATAGTATAGGAAACTCCATATTCTACTTTGCACATTCTAATGAGTTCCCATAATAAACCATGTAAGTAGATTTACTAAACATGGTGTTGAGTTCTGTAGGTGAAACACACAACTGCCGCCCGAATCTCAGAGGGTACGGCTATGTTATATCAAAGATGTATTAAGACACGTTC